GCCCAGCGCCTGGGGCGGGCGAGCCTGGAAGGGCGGCGTTGGGCTTTGGGGCGAATGCCTCCCACCTCGGAAGCCCCCAGCTTTGCTCTTGCAGCTCTCGGTGCTCATCGAGGCCCCTGGGCTGCGGGGACCCGCCGAGGCCTCTAACAGGGAGGCTGCGGGTCTCAAGGCAGTGGCACCTGAAGAGCACCGGCCCTGCCCGGGCAGCTGCGCTGGGGACCGCGAGCCCCGCCGGCCTCCCCAGAGGGACAAGGAGCCCAGAAGGGGGCGGTGTCCCCGGGACCCAGGCCCGGAGGTGCGGGGCGCTGCCTCCCCAGGTCCGGCGTGGCCCGGGGGAGGGGAGGGGAGGCAGGGCCCCCTCGAGGCGGAAACCGGAAGCCTGGGCGGAAGACGCCCCCAAGCCCAAGTTTTCCTCCGGGACGCGGTCCTTTCTGGCTTGGGCCGCTCAGGGGCCCCACCCCAGCTCCCTCGGCCCGGCGGGGTCACGGGAAGGGCCGTTTGGGGAGCACCGAGCCGCAGGTAGGAGGAGCCAGCCCCAGAGCCGCCCAGGCCCTGCCGGTACTCGCTCAGCGACAGAGGCCCACCTCGTGAGGCCACCCTGTCAGTCAGGACCTGGGAACGTGGGAGGCCTCTAACCAGGCCAGTCTGGATCTGCACTGGCTACAACTGTAAGGCCTCAAGGTGCGCGGCCCAGGCCTGAGACAACTCCTGACTTTCTTTCCACCAACCTCAGGGGGTGGTTTGTGTCTTCCAGGTCACAGTATAGCTGCCGAAGCACCAACCCTCACATTCGTAGTCTATTCAGGAATCAGGAAAGGACAAGAGGCAAAGCTGGGCCTTCTCCCAGCTTTTAGCGATGGTCCAGAGCCCCTTTCAGGGACTTACGCTTTCATGAGTTTGACTACTCCAGTCTTCAGAGTCTTGTTACTAAAGCAGAGGGGGAAGCAGGTATCAGGAGGCAACCTTGAGGCCCTGTGCAGAAGGCAAACTTCACAAAAGAGAAGGCCTCAAGGACCCTCTGCTGGGCCCCGCCCTGTGTCTTCAGCCCTGCTGCAGATGCAGGGTGGTGCAGCTGCTCTCTGGTTGTGCTTCTTTGGCCAGGCCCTGCCCACCTGAGCTTGGGGCTCCCTGAGCATCCTTTTCCCTCTGCAAGCTGGGAGGCTCCTTCCAACCCTTTCAACAGGCACCCTGTCTACACTCACTCAGTCGTTCAGCAAACACCCACTGAGTCCCCATTGGGCACTGGGCCTGATGTGTGGGAGATTGTGGCACACGCATGGGGACTGTGGGTCTGAAGCCACAGATACCCAGGGAGACCTGGGCCTCAGGACCTGCCGTGCACATGAGCCACCCCCTTTGCCTTCACCTTTGTCCTGGAGCCCCAGGGCAGGAAGCAAGGGCTGAGGGCTCCTGGGCCCAGGGGTCAAGTGATGAGCCGGATGCTCAGGCCTGTGGTTCTGGCGGGGCCCCCTTGGAGAGTCCCCATGCAGGGTGGGAGGTGCCGGAGAGCCGCAGTGGCCTTGCTGCACGCGTCCGTGCATGTGGAGGCCGGGTCCCGTCCCGCGCGGACTCCCGGGCGGACTCCCGGGCGCCCTCCACCCTCTGTGGCCTGTGGCTGAAGGCTGCGGGGCTCCAGGGTCCCCCCATCCAACCCGCGCTTCCAGACCCCGCCCAGCAGGGCCGAGGGCCTGGGCACCCCCTGCAGCACTGGGCAGACTCCCGGACACAGTCGACCCGGCTGGGGGGCACCGCCGGGCCCTCCACTGGGAGGCGGTCATGGAGGGTCCATGTCCCCCCACAGATGGGGAAACTGAGGCCCTGAGGGACAAGGTGCCAGGAGGTGGGCTCACTGTGCTGGGGGAGGGACTGTCCCCTGCTGCCCATGAGCCAGCCAGACCCTCTGCTGGGACAGTGGCAGTGCCGGGCCCTGGGGCTGTGGCTCAGCGCCTATGTGTTGACTCCCTCGGGCAGCAGGCTGTGGTGATGGGAGAGACCTTCGATGTCGCCACACTGCGTGCTCGTGGCTCAAGATCTCCTTGCCTCTCTGTGCCCGCCTAGGGCTAACACACAGCTCCATCCCAGTGTGCTGC